GATATTATAGATGCTTCTTCACACTTCCAAAACTAAACACCATAGTTGAGTTCTTATCCTCACAATTAATTTATATTTGGACCGGAGAGTTCCCCCCACCCCCTAGACTTCTACAGTAGGACAACATATTTTACACATTTGTCTCATGCAACCACATTTCCTGAAACTATTTTGTATAAATATATCAACTATGTGCTAAACCCGGGATGGGGAAAAGCCACTCAGTGGGCTGAATCTAACCCACGTGGCTGTTCTAAGCCCCATCACCAAGCGTGTTGCCTAGGAGCCGGAGCTACACAAGCCTTTTCAACTGCTTCTATTTAAAGGGCTCATGCCTTCCCTGCATCTGTTAGGTAATGCGTTGCCTGGCAGCCACAGGGAAGGCGCAAGACCTTGAAATAGAAGCAGTTGAAAGGGCTAGTGCAGCTCCAGAGCTGCGAGTCCTTTTAACTGTTTCTATTTAAAGAGCTCAGATCTCCGAGGCAGCTGTGTTGTCTGGCAGCCACGCAGAAGGCACAAGCCCTTTAAATAGAAGCAACTGAAAGGGCTCGCAGCTCCGTCCTCATGCAACAGCCCCAGGGAAGGTGCAAGCCCTTTAAATAGAAGTAGGTGAAAGGGCTTTAGCATTCTCAGTTCCCAGGCAACTCACTAGCAGGAACTGAAAGGGCTTGCAGCTCCTGTCTCCAGCTAATGTGATGCCTGGGAGCCACAGGGGAGGTGTGAGTCCTTTCAACTCTTTCCATTTAAAGGCTCCAGTCCTTCCAACTGAGGCCCTCCTGGAGCAGCCCGCAACCACTTCAAAAAATTTTGAAGTGGCCCCTGCTCAAAAATTATTGGCCACCCTTGTGCAAAACCATTATTTTATTTCTATTCAGAGACTGATATAAGAAAGAAAGAACAAATTTTAAATTTACTAGAAGATTTACCTGAGTCCTTAACTCAATTTTTTGTTTGGGGGATGGGGGAAATGAAATGAAAATGTTCATGCTTCATTTAAGTAATTTATCTGGGTTGGTACTGGGGATGAGGGATTCAGTATGCCCTGGAGAGGACAACCCCACCTCTTTGTCACTGTAGCAACTTGGGACTGGATGAGAAGTGCCTCTCCATGGCCACTGCAACTTCAGCGGGCACAGCCGGGGGAGGGGTGCATGTCCACTGGATGGAACAGGTCCAGGTTCGTCTGTGCCCCAGAGCCAGAGCAAAGAAAGCAGCAAATTATGCACTTCCCTCTCAATCCTTGATAAAGGGGAATAGACAATAACATCCCTGTATGAATTTTGGATGAGGGGGGCTTCAGCCTTCCCTGCACTCCCTAAAGGGCACCTGGGGAGTGAGAGGCATAAGGCTGGGACAGTCCCAGACAGAAGGGGGGCACACCCCCAGCCAGTGCCTTTCACTTGCCCGGTGATTCTGTCTCTTTTCTCTATGGTTTGATGAAAAGCAATGCCATTCCAGGGCACATCTCACTTTCCTGGCACAATCCAACCCTTACCTTGCTTTAAGTTATGACAAGAAGAAACTGTATAACAAATTTGATGGTCCTAGTTCTTACCCTTTAGGAGTTCTTGATCAGTCAGTGACATGGACAGACACACAAACCCTCTCATATGTGTACAAGTTGTACTTCCCTTAACCAGGACTCCCTGGTCCGGCAAAATCCGTGGTCTGGCATGGAGGCAGGTGGTATGCCACCAAGTTTCAGCCCCAGAAGCCGGGGAGCTCTAGCTTGGCCGTGGCCCTCCCACCCCAGACAGGGAGCTCTGATCCCAGCAGCAGCCAGGAACCTCTAGCCCCATCCCTGTCCATGGAGCTGCAGCCCCGTCCCTCTGCCCTGGTTGCCAAGCTCCAGCCCAGCTGAAGAGCCAGGCAGCTGCAGAGCTCTGCCCCAGCTGTGCAGCTCTGGCCATGGCGCTCCAGCCCCAGCAGTAGCGAGGCCGGGAAGAGCCTTGGGGGGCTGTGGCAATGGGGGGAAGGCTGGAGCCCTAGCCCAGTGGCAACACGGCCATGAGAGGAGGGACCTTCCCTGGTCCAGCAAATCCCTAATTTGGGACCAGTCAGGTCCTGAAGATGCTGAACCAGCAAGGTCCAACCTGTAGTAGATATTGGGCTATTTATTCAAGACAGATACAAAAGCTATTTGTCTATAATCATTTTTAGCACATTCAATTTAGATTAACAAAACTGAATAGTCTGACAATGTTTTATACATCCACTTTACGTTATTACATCCTTAAGTAACTTACACATGGAGAAGTGTTAAATAGAAATATTTCCATTTTGTCAAATACTTGTTCTCCTCTAGAACTTGATAAAAGTGTTCCCTTCTAGAACTCTGTGTTGGGCCGAAAGGAGTTAATGTAAAAACCATTCAAAATGGAGGCAGTGAACTTTTAACCTAAAGACTCCATTTTGATCAAAATGCCTGTCAACAGCAGAGGACTCTGAGTTGTGCTGGCTCTCACCAGCCATAACTGGTTTTTCCCGCCCAAGCAGAACATAGCATCACCGACTTTTACACCACAGAAAGGATTTAAGGATTTGCACAGTTGCTAGGGGGTGTCCGTCAGCACTGAAACACTATAGCGGCTGTGATAAGGGAAGATATACCACCACCATAGAAGCTCCCCACTGGCATTTCCCTGGAATTCCTCCCAGAGGGCTTCAAAAAAGTTCTAGGGTAGAAGGCCCCAGGCCTCAACTGCATAGTACCATTGGTACCTCTCAATATAAAAGGGGTTTGATTCTTTGGGTTCTTTCCCATCATCTCTTCCTGGCCAAAGTGAGTATCTGGGCCTAGGCTTCATGCCTCCGATGAAATTTCTACACTGTAATACAGTTATTGTCAGTGGTCGACAAATTATGGAAAACCCTACTCGCCAGACAAAAAAGGGACTCGCCACCCTCCCCCACAAAAAGTGTTTTTTAAATGGCATAAATCCCTAATAAGAATAAGAACAGTAATTACTAATAAGTGATTAATAAATATCACCCAGGTTATTAATAAATATCTTATAAACCTCTACCTTTTCTCTCTCCTCCCCTTGGTCCCTCAGCTCCCCTGGTGCCTGCTGCCCCCTAACTGCTCACCCTCTGCTGTCCTGACTCCTGCCCTTCTCACTGCCCTCAGCCTTCCTGAGACCTGCCCCACTCCACCAGCCCTTCTCTCCGCCCTGTGCCCACTCCTCCAGTAGCCCCACTCTGATCATGTGAGCTACCCCTCCTCATCCCCTCTCCTAAAACCTCCCTCTACACACCTGCCCTGCCTC